GCAGACAAAAGTCATACAACGAGATAAGCCATTAAGGCATGTCGAGTCATTTGAGCGTGCCGATTATGTTTTTAAATGACGCAAATTACCAGGCAGACTATCCAGTGGCAAGTTTACTCTCCATAGATTACTCAGCATGCATTGTTAACTACTAGCTGAAATGAAAATAATAACTTGTTGCGGATGCTTCAAATCAGTCGGAGCATGATGTTGCATTCCAAAAACTAACAGAAAGTCTAAATGATGATATGTTTGTGAAAAAAGCACTTTCGTTGTCGTATAGTTTGCTAGATATATATTATCCCTTTCTTCCAGATCCTTCATGATGCGGAAAAAAATGTGGAAAGCAGTTTTCGATCGTTCTAAATTTCAATTTATAACTATCTATTTCCGTAAAAATTAGTATTCCAACAACTTTACAATTTATTCCTACCTCTCTGATAAATATTTGTGACTGGTTAGTAGATGACAATTATTTTCATATGGATAATGACTGCAATGCACTCTCATGTGATACTGTACGGAAATGTATACCTTTAGCCGAGTTTGTGATATGCCTGCATTAAAAACCAGTACGACCCTGATCAGAGATGGTATGGGTATTGTACAGTCTTTATTGTTGCGCTTGTCCCAAGTCAGGAACCTCTGGTCTTTGTTAGTCTTTATATTTTTTAATTTTGTTTCATTTATATGTTTCGGAGTTTAGTGTGACGTTCATTTTCTCATACCAGTATACAGTTTTGTTTAGGTACCAGTTAAAACCCGCCTCAGGGTGCGGGATTTTTTGGCTGTGTTGAAGACCCATTGGTGGCCTTGAGCCGTTTCTGCTCTTTGGTGGAGTTGTCTTTTTGACACATTCCCCGTTTCCATTTATTTATTTATGTAAAAAGGTACAACCGTTTTGGAGATTTGGCCAAGGACACCTTCAAAAACCCTAATAGCTTTTATTGAAAACTTCGGGTGTGTCGTGAATGTGTTTGAACGATATGATGTGGAACATTCTACAAAATCAGCAGAAAGAATAAGGAGTAAAATTGAGAATGGAAACGGGGAATGCGTCAAAGAGACAACAATGTCTATTTCAAACGGTGTTAGATCTAAGGTTCGTCAAGTCATTGAATGCAGATCAATTAGAGATTGTAAGACATTTCTTTGTGCACCTGAAAATAAACAGGGGTTGATAAGATTGGTAGGTGACTATGCACTCCCGCACTACAATGATTTTGATTTGCAAGACCATGACGAAATATTCCTAGCGGGATCTATTCAAAATCTATAGACTGTGAAGCAATTTTGTGCCGAAACTGTAAGTGACTGAAAATGCAGATATAAAAATTATTCTGCCGTCTCTGTTTGCTAATGAACAGATGGTAAACAGTTATTCTAGGGGTCGCCTTATATAATCATCATCAGACACTTATGTCTTTTCCTCAGATGTCAAACATGATGAATTGTGGTTTCAGACTGGTAGTGTTTCTTCAACCAAAGACGCAAGACGGTTTTTACCTGTTCACAACATATGCTACTTTTTTTTAGTTATTGGACCACTGAAGTCTGGCACACTGCCAGCTGCTCACGCTCTTACAGGATGCGACACGTCTTCTTCAATAGGAATTGGCAAAAAGACAATTACAAGGCGTCTAAACAAAACCAATGCATGTATCAAAGTTTGTCAATCTAGCTGGTTCTAATATTGACACATCTGTTGCAGTGACAATTCAATTCATCGCGGATCAATATGACCCCAGAAGCAATGCGCAATCAGTGCATGGTGATCTGAATAAACTTAAGAGTGAAGTCGGCGCTTTCTAAGGGGGCTTACCTAGTGATACTAACTCCTTCACATGATGCATCATTCAGACAGCACATTTTTCGAGTTTCACTCTAAGTGTACGTCTGGATGAATGCTTATATCACCAAACCACCACCTAGGTCAACTTTTGAATATGGAAATTTGGATTAGCTTCAAAGTTTCAGTATACTAGAATTTTGAATCCAACACCTCTGACTTTTTACAGGACCTTGTTTGTACATTTAAAGGCAAAACTATTTGAAGCAAATCTTGCGTATACTAAGAACAGAATTTGTCGTTTCCAGCATTTGTTGTTGTCAGGGAAGTGGTGATTGCAGAAACCAGCTTATTCATAAGATTGTTTTAGAAGATTGCTACGATAAGGATGATGATTGAACTATTAATCTCATTGCCCAATATTTTTTAAAGTTTTCTGCTGTTACTGGCATCCGACTGGATGTGGTTGGGGAGCTCCTTTGTAGCGTAATATCTTTGTGAATCGTATTTGTTTGTAATTCACATATATATCGGGCTTTCAAATCGGTTTTAATAAAGTCTGCTATGAATGCCATTGTTTGTCTTGTTTTATGAAAAAGGGGGACACAAGTTCCCAATATGCTGTTGCTCTTGTACTGATTGACCTATAAACAAAGAAAAAAAATATCATATACTATCGTTTATATGCTGACATTTATGCATCAAGACTATTTTTTTTATAGTTCCAAAATTCTTTTGTGCTTAAATAATCAGTAATGAATTTGATCATTTTTTCATTCAATGATGGACCGGGTGTTGACTTTACAGTACTTATTTCTCCTTTGTTCTTTATGGCATTTTAACAAAATTTTCCAAAAAAATATTTTTATATGTTGTCATATATTATTGCATAGCTAAATATTAAATATGAATATTTTTGTCGAATATTTCAGCAGATAAAGATATCTTTTTTCATTTTCTTACATGTTGGAAGCGGGGTATACATCACTTATCTCTGGCAATTAGGTATAAATATGACTAGCTGAATTCGTGGAGCATTCCCAGAGTATGATTCCATAGCAAATTTTTCTCAGTTATTATGAGGGATTACCGAAAATTTGTCCTAAATGACCACAAATTTTAAAATCCTCCCTTTTGACATTTAACCCAAGTTTTCAAAAACCTGCACCACTATAGAACTCTACGACATGCCTTAATCAAAGGGTATCATATTAGTCTTCAAAATAAGACCAAAATTAATATTGAGGTATTTCGGTACATCGATTTTTTTTAATTAACCTTACTTGTCACCGTACTATTTAGGTCAAAAGGACAAAACAGGAAATAAACCTCCAAAACGTATGACCCAGATACGGTCGCATAGCCCGTCCCGGCGGAAAGAGAAAACAATGAAGCCTCTTGTGGTGCCAGTGTGGCCTTTTCAGAGATGATCTGCTGATGACTCAACTTCACCGATGGAGGACACACTTAGTAATTGTATCATAACTAGAGATGATGTTTCATATTTGGTGGGTTCAGTTATCAACCAGGCTGATAATGGAAATGACGATAATGAGACAGTATGAAAAGGTAAACAATGACAACAGCATGTCAATTTACGGCGTATTGTTACCACTGCATCAATCCAGCACCTCAAAGGACACAAAATCTAAATGAGACATTTACAAAAATGTAATCTAAAGTTGACGGACAGAAAAAAATAATAAAAAAATGCTATTGGATGACTCCTTATAAGAGTTATTTCCTTTGACGATTTTTGACTAAATTACGAGTTTTGCTTTTTATCTCGAAAGCAATGATAGATTGATCAGCTACACCAGATCTACACAATGCTGTAATGACCGAAACAATTGAATGACATCTTACAGTTGTTTTTGTCCTTATATGACAGAAACCATTTAATGATCCCTTATATTATTATTGCCCTTACACACCAACTGTTTGCTCATTATGTTTAACGTATTTTTTATCAATTTTCTATGGAATAACAGCTACTGGAAAATAAAGGTATGTATTGTAGGGACAGAAACTTGTCACAGTCCATGTACGGGACCATTCGAAGAGTGGTTGCAATGATATAAGTCCCCCGCCAACGAAGTTTTGCACTCTGTCCGTCCGTCTGTCTGTTTGTCTGTCTGTCAATCCGTATGTCCGGCATATCAGTTTTCCAACATATTTTTCTACATGCTTTAAAATATTTATTTAATATTTAGTATATAGTTTTATCATGATTAGTTACAGATCTATTTTTAATTTTGTTCCGGTCTTATGATTTTGTGCAGAGTTATTGTCCTTGAACTTTGAAAATTCACGCAAGTAATCAGTTTTCCGCATTTTGTTTCGTCATGCTTAAAGATATTGTATTATATTTGGTATATAGTTTGACAATGACAAGTTACAGATCAAGTTTGAATTTTGTTGCGGTCATGTGGTTGCGTGCAGAGTTATGGTCCTTTGCAAATTCATGCAAATAATCAGGTTTTCACACTTTTTCCGTCATGCTTGACGATATTGATATGATATTTCTTATATAGATTACACCATTACAAGTTATAGATCAAAGTAGTATTTTGTTCCAGCACAATGATATTTTAACCTGTAGGGGACTATGTATAGCCAAGTGATACTCTCAGAATACTTGTTGAACATGAAAGGAGCATGGCTTTCTCCCTATATTTAGCAACGAATTTATAAAAAAAGAAAAATCCTGTAGGTAGGTTATGCAAACTGGTGTGAATAGCATTATATGCTTCTTAACGGGCATAGTCGAGTTGAATGTATTACATAGAGCCATGTGATTTATGCATGATGTCTTGAATCACTCTAGTATTCAAATATGAATAGGATATTGCGGCGTGTAGAGTTCTTTGTGATAACTTTAGCGTGGACAAAAGCGATAACGGTTGGTAATTTAGATTATGAGATGACTATAAACATTCTCTTTTCTCATTGGCTAAAATATATAGAATCTTCTTTGATAAAACATTATATTCATCGCGGGAATAATAATTAGAGGTTCATATAAGATTTGGAACGGCTAATATGTACCCTTAAATAGTTTTTCCCTAGGCAACGTCATAACGTAGGCTTATGACGTCATGCACATTTTCGTATTTCTTCTCCTTCTTTTCGATAACATATGTTAAAATTAATAAAAAAAACTTTATTGAATATTTCAACTTATAAAAGATAAGCAACTGACAAAGCAGAAAACATATTTAGTACAAGAGGAGCAGTTAAATATCTTGAGCAAACGCTAGAAATTGGAAACGGATAAAACAAAACTAATATAATAAAACAACTGTTGACGTTTGAAATCACTGTTGATACAATGATTTATCAACGCCAGCTGAGATATGACATTCACCCTCGGCCGTTGGCATCGTTGAATATCATATCTCTGGGATTTATAAAACATTGTATCAACCTCATCAAAAGTCAATGATGGTATAACAACATGAATAACCCATGGTAGCATGGTCTAAAGGCACAAATTGTAAATTATTTATAATTATAGGACAATCGTTTAGTAAAATAGGCAACATGCTAATAGTTTAAATACTATTTATAACATATAACCAAACAGAACGTTAAAAATTACTAATTGTACTATTTGGCTAAATGTAAACAGGAGCGTAAAATGAACTTGCGTAGTTGAACATGTCTTTGATAAATACAAGCGAAAACGCAAACAGGTAAAAATTAATCCGGGACAACGTTTTAAAAAAAATTACCAAATTATGCTGAAAAGTCTCTGTCAGCGGGTCGCAATTAGAACTAATACAGACTATTTTCTTGAACAGTCATCATAATATCTGAATGACATTTTCTAGGTTTTCATCAAAGCAATTTTCATTTTCTTCTTTGTCATTTCCCTTACATTCAATGGTGACCACTAGAGATTGGAATTTGGGACTTAGTCGGACATTTTTCGGTTACTTTCATTATACTGAAACTTGAAAGAGGAGTTGATGGCATTCGGATATGTTTGCATTTCAAGGATTCGTATTATTTTAAATTCTCATTACAAAATTTAATAAAGATGTGTCAATGAAGAAAAAAAAATATAACTCAATTATTTGTTTAAATGATACAATGTTGATCTGTTATATAACTTGACTTAATTGCAATGGAAGTGACATTGGTTGACGAAAAAACTAGTTCTGGCAAAAAGTGATGTTAATTTGAGGTCATTGACGCACAACACTTAAGTTTATACGTATATCTTTATTTGTGAAATAAAATAGCTGATTTCATATAATTTTGAATATTTGATTTATACACTTGAAATAATTGCGAAGCCTAACAACAATTTTTGAATAAAATTCATACTGCTCTGGTTAGGTCATTCATTTAAATCCATTTCTATAGATAATCAAATATTAATATATTCAGTACAGGTTATTGATTTTTTTAAAGCCAAACGCATTTGAAAACACATTTTAATTTGTTTGCAATGAATGGTAGTCATTATTCTCCTAGTTATTAATTTTATGGTCTCTTGTACTGTTTCTCTGTTCTGTTTATTTTGAAAACAATCGGAATCTGTTATGGTTCTTGCAATTTGCCGTGATGGTAACGGACAAATCCCATGTTTGTCGTCGGGTTTCAGATGTCTTTCTTTATGATCTCCTTTTGAGCTCGAGAGCTGTTGCTATTATCATAGTTGGAAACTGCATTATTATTGGTGTATTTATTTTGCGTTTTCAATTATCTCCCTTGTATTGTTCGCCATGCATGTGTATTTTGTCACAATCGGATTGTTCATTTAGTTTTTTACGCTTATCTTTCATTGTTGAATAAAATTCTTTCCTTTTTTCAACTTCAGAGAGAATTTGTTCTACTAATCGATAGTTGGTGCTATCCAGTGCTTGACACTTAGTTATCAAACTTAGATTCTGTAATACAAATAATATCATGATCACCAAGTTCAGTCTGTATTAGATCTGTTTTATATTTAACAGAGTAAACATTAAGACTGACGATAGAAATATTTTATATAGGTTGTTGTCCATGTCCACCACCAGGTTGTTGTCCGTGTCCACCACCAGGTTGTTGTCCGTGTCCACCACCAGGTTGTTGTCCGTGTCCACCACCAGGTTGTTGCCCATGTCCACCACCAGGTTGCTGCCCATGTCCACCACCAGGTTGTTGCCCATGTCCACCACCAGGCTGTTGCCATTGTCCACCTCCTGGTTGTTGTCCGTGTCCACCACCAGGTTGTTGTCCATGTCCACCACCAGGTTGTTGACCATGTCCCCCACCAGGCTGTTGCCATTGTCCACCACCAGGCTGTTGTCCATGTCCACCACCAGGTTGTTGCCCATGTCCACCACCAGGCTGTTGCCATTGTCCACCACCAGGTTGTTGTCCATGCCCACCACCAGGTTGTTGACCATGTCCCCCACCAGGCTGTTGCCATTGTCCACCACCAGGCTGTTGCCCATGTCCACCAGCAGGTTGTTGCCCATGTCCACCACCAGGTTGTTGCCCATGTCCGCCTCCAGGCTGTTGACCATGTCCACCACCAGGTTGTTGCCCATGTCCACCCCCAGGCTGTTGCCAATGTCCACCACCAGGCTGTTGTCCTTGTCCTCCACCAGGCTGTTGCCAATGTCCACCACCAGGCTGTTGCCCTTGTCCACCTCCAGGTTGTTGTCCGTGTCCACCACCAGGCTGTTGTCCATGTCCACCACCAGGCTGTTGCCCTTGTCCACCCCCAGGTTGTTGCCAATGTCCACCACCAGGCTGTTGCCCTTGTCCTCCACCAGGCTGTTGCCAATGTCCACCACCAGGCTGTTGCCCTTGTCCACCTCCAGGTTGTTGTCCGTGTCCACCACCAGGCTGTTGTCCATGTCCACCACCAGGCTGATGCCCTTGTCCACCACCAAGTTGTTGCCCATGACCACCACCAGGCTGTTGACCATGTCCACCACCAAGCTGTTGCCAATTTCCACCTCCAGGTTGTTGCCCTTGTCCACCTCCAGGCTGTTGCCCATGTCCACCTCCAGGCCCTGGTGCAGCATTTGTTTGCGCTGGTATGTTTCTAAATAGCTGTCCATTAAATGGATATGGCATATTTCCAGGTTGGTTACCTGGTTGAAAAGGACTTCCAAACAACATAGAACCAATGCCTGATGGGTTTCCACCTCCAGGTTGTTGTCCGTGTCCACCACCAGGCTGTTGCCCATGTCCACCACCAGGCTGTTGCCCATGTCCACCACCAGGCTGTTGCCCATGTCCACCACCAGGCTGTTGCCCATGTCCACCACCAGGCTGTTGCCCATGTCCACCACCAAGCTGGTTTCCCATTCCAAGGGGACCTCCCTGTCCAGGTCGGTTTCGCCCACTTGGCAGTGCACCTCCTTGTCCTGGATTCGCCGGATTACCACCGGGTTGTCTCATTCTTGGTTGAGCCCCAGTGTTGCTTCCAGCTCCAACTGTAACGGGCCCAGGATTCTGCGAAGCGTTACTTGAGTGACCATTGTTTGCTCCATGGAAACCAGTAGCAAAATTCGGTTTCATAGCTACACTTGATGGGCTAAACTGCATTCGATGATTTTTATTCGATGCATTATTTTTTACTGGAAGGTTGTTTACTATATTTAGATGAATTTGCGTTCCGGGAGTTGGTTTTGTACCTTGACTCGGATTATTGCCTCTTTGTAATCCGGGTTGATGCTGAGGACCACTTGGCAAATGTCCTGGATTGTGCCCACCTTGGCGAGTCCCATGTCCAGTAGGTTGATGCGGTAAATTGCCTTGACCTACAGGTAACTGACCTTGGGGTGGATGTCCGTGTGTATTTGGCTGTCTTCTGTGACCCATAGGTAAAGCACCACCTTGCGGAGGTGCATTGGTTGAATAATTGTTTGTAATATGAATGTTGTTAATATTGTTGTTAACATTTGTTCTATGTATTTTACTATTAATTTTTGTGTTTCCTGTATCTGTGTTCATTTGAAAAGTATTCCCACTATTAACCTTTATATCTTTCACAAAATTCAGTGAGCTTACGGGCGATCCTTGTGGTTTATTTGGGGCTCCTTGTCCGGGGTTATTACCTTGACCACCTGGTTGGTTTCCACCTTTTGTTGGTGCGGGAGCGGGACTGATTGCTGGACCATTTTGTTGTTGACCTATATGGGACAAGATGTTTGCATTTTTTGCCAGTACGACAGTATGCGTAAGAGTTGGAACTTGGTTTTGACCTGTCTTTGTATTACCATTCCTTTGTGCCTCTCGAAGTCGCTGAAGAATGTTATTACTAAGAAAAGAAACTTTCCTGATTTGAGGAAGAGATCTACCAACGGATGGATTAAACTGTATGTTATTTTGTGGTCCTAATGTGGCGTCAATATTAGCTATATTAGCACTGACTATATTGGTTTTTCTGCTGGTGTTTATCATATATCTACGCAATGGTATTCGGATTATTCGTTTAATATATCGTGGCTTTGGTACACTCTGAAATAAAATTAAAGCAAGAGTTATGGTAAATGTTCCAAACTTGTTTTTCCTATTTTTTATTACAGTCATGATCGTATAATTTACAAGTAGGAAAATGTAAATGTCGTGATAAAACTACGTAACACTTATTATGGTCTATTTATACACAAGTTACAGATCACAACAAAACGACAGCTAAGGTTGATGTTTTGCTGTCCGAAATTCATACGCTTAATGTAGACTAGTACATAAGTGAGGTTCTGTGTAGGATGTGTAAGTACTCTTTTACGTCCTGTCGGACCGGCGCCAACAATTCCAACAACCTTTTTTAGGCCCTTTCACGGTAAATAACTTACATGACCACTTCTCTGATTTGTCCATGAGCGAGGAATTTTGACTCCGACCAACGGTGTTTTTAAGTAGCAAGCATTTTTGTTCCGCCTGCCAAACTATTTCTTTAGTATTAATTAACCTTCTTATCTCTAGTGTTTTAATGAAGTATTTGGTACTGAATATGAAATATTCACTCAATCGTAATTTAACAGTATGACCTCCAAATCAATGGGCAACATTTTCTTCTTCAAAGGAAGGAATTAAAAATTTATAATGAATGTTATTTTCAAATTGCTAATGGCCATTGCATAGGCTGGAATTGGTGCAGTTCAAAGTTCTTGAAAAGCTGTTTGAACGAAATTCACAAGACGAACAAAAAACAAAGAATTGTGTTCGTGTGACATGTGATGGCGGTAAACTTAGTCTCCATCCACAACTTATGATTGATTGTGGTTAATATGAATTATTGCAATTGTAGAACTTTAAGCGATGACGCTGTCCTTTTTATATAGATTTGTGTTTGAGAAAAATCATGCTAGCTCATGGTCAGTATATATTCGTACTTTGTCACAGCCCATATTTAATGTACATCAATTGATTTGAACATATTAACTATAACTATCATAGATATAGTAAAAACAGTGCTATGTTATTTACAATGCTAAGTTAAGTTCGATCATGGACCTATATTTCTGATGAGCTACAACATTTAATAAACGAAGCTATTAAAATCGATTATTAAAGCAATAGCTGCCGACATTTCCGTATAACCTGAGTTCACCTCGATTATTGGTTGGGTTCGTGTTGCTCAATCGTTAGTATTTGTGTAGTTCTTTTCTATTTTATTATTTCTTACTGTCACTTTCCTTTCGCCATTGTGTTGTTTGTCTAAATCGGAAGGTACCAAGACCTTGTTGATAAATATTCCGTATCAACTTCAAAAATAATACACGATGGTCTTGAAGTATAGATTCTGGGTACTGACGTTATTTATCATCTTAATAACGTGTTATAGTATTCTTTTATTTGTTTTTATCAATATTACTTTAACTGTTAAGTCTGTTTTTGTGATATCCATTTGACGTGACTCTGTACTTATGTATCCCGTCATACTTTGAACGACGAAATTATTTTATTTTATTAATATTACTTTTACTGTTAAGTCGGTTTTTTTGTGATATCCATTTGACGTGACTCTGTACTTATGTATCCCGTCATACTTTGAACGACAAAATTATTTTATATCTACTTGTGTGACGTAAAACGCACAATTCTACGCCAGTACTTAAAACCTTCCATCCTTTATGGGTAGATTTTACATAGATAAATAAAATCGTATAATAAAAAAGCAAAATGAGGATGTTAAATTTGATGTATGCCTTTTTGTGCTTCTTAGTTACATTTGTTTGTTTTTATAGTGATTAAGATGATAACACAATGTTGACTGCTGTACCCCTATTATTGACATTTTTACCTGTTGTTTCTGTATGTTTTGTTCACGCATCGTTGTCAATATAATGGAATTTGATGCAACAGTCATACAAGTGAGAGGTTGAGCTAGCTAAAAAACAGGTTCATTCCACCATTTTCTACATAAGAAAATGCCTGTACCAAGTCAGGAATATGACAGTTGTTATAAATTCGTTTGATGTGTTTCAGCTTTTGATTTTGCCATTTGATTAGGGACTTTCCTTTTTGAATTTTCCTCGGAGTTCAAAATTTTTGTAATTTCACTTTTTTTTTATAATTCTTCGAAATGTGTTTTTGTTTTGGATTTCCCCATAGCTTATGTTCTCCCTTTTTAAGATAACGTCAAACAATTTTCATTAAGTATAAACTGAGTAGGACAATTCGATAGAACGGCTTTGTTGAACCCATATTATTTTAATCGTCTGGAAGGAGTGAAAATGTCGGTATCAAAAGAACAACATGAACTGCACTCTGATAACATATGCTAATCCCTAGAAGGAAAGTTATAATAATTTATCTCAGTAGGTTAATATGTCTTCCTGCTTGCTTTAATTGCCACAAGAAGTAAAGCTATCATTAATCAATCAATCACGAGTAGATGCACTTCTGGTATTTCAAATTGTATATTCATTTAAGTTATTTGGTTTTAACAAGGGTTACTTTGGAATACGTTGACTACAACGTCAACGATTTTTGTTTGATCTAATTTCAGTTTAGTTTGTATCTGACTTGGAAAACTTCAAATTAATACTTAAAGATAAATATGATGAGATTATGAGTATCACGTATATGCAGAATTATTGTAAACAAATATTTTCTTTTTCGTATTTCCCATAGACAGCGTATACCAAGTCATAAGTATACAAACTCATCAAAGAAACTAGGCTAAAAATGGATTTAAGGTACATTTTCTGTATAGCGCCATCTTGGATTGTACAATAGCAGTACACAATCGGTTTGTTCTTTGCCTAAATCTGCATATTTTGAGACGGATTTGTAGTTTATGTGTAAGAATGTTTATTTCTATAAAGAAAAAATAAGTGATTTATTGCAATATCCAAAATGTCTACCCAATACCAAATATTTGTGATTTTTAGAATCAATTTTTCAACTTAGCTATTTAAGGGGATATAACTCTTATAGTAAAAATATACTGGAATGATAGTGAAAATTTCCTTTTTTTACTTAAAGCAAGAAAACAAATTCGGTGACAACTTTTTTTATTTTCCTAAAGCATATTATACAACCTATCATCTCATATATTATTTCAAAATTCTATCTCATAGATTTCTTTTCATTCACAAAAATGTGTTTTTTCATGAACTATCTTTGAAAATTTGGGCAATTTTACACGACTAGTATCTTGAAAAATAGCACGGGGACCCATACTTTTTATTATATTTTTGAAAATAGCATGGTAAAATCTTCATTTTGGCAAAGTATAAGAAAATTCTATTTGAGGAAATATATACCGATGATCCACCTAAATAAACAAAGCTTTTATATCTACTATTTATATGCACGAAATGCCGACACTTTTGTAGCATTTGAGTACATCCCCGTTACTAAGTGTTCAACCTTAGGTTTTCTTATGAATTTCGTTGTCTTGTCTTTTGTCCAAGAGTATGACAGACGTTGGTCAATTGATTTTTAACGTTAATAGTTAATAGTTAATATTTTATAAGGACCAGTGTTTGCGTACATTAAAATCGCAACCTGTTTATATATATATATATATAATTATCGAACTTTGCCTAGATATACCATGGGGCCAAATGTATTAGGACTTTCCTATGTAAACGGGAAGAAGTAATCTTTGTGTTCATTTCTTTTCATGGAAAAGGATAAATTTTGAATAAATAAATAGTAGTATCTGAGGATTATTTAGTGCCATTTAAATACAATAGTTATTGTCAGAATATATAAATAAGTCCAAATATAATGCAAAAGTTCTTGACGATTTACTTTACTGATGTACTTACTACAACATTATTGAATAGAGATTCTGTTATATCGATCCAAGCTGTAAACAATAACAAGCTAGCTATCGAACATGATGAAATAATCCGAATCCACATTTTGATACCTCTCTTACAAACGACAACCACCGAGTGACTAGCGAAAATTCATACCTTACTTGTTAAACCCTAATGTATCACTTACTTCTTTAATTTATTCATTAAGTCATTAAATGTCATAAAAGTATTGTTTTATTACCGGTATTAAAATCATTTTGAATAAGTAATTAGTAATTGTCGATTGTGCATACATTTAGTGTTACCAACTTTGTCAATGTGTGGTTTGTGATGTTTGATAATCGTTTCATCTATTTCTACTTTTTCCAAAAACGTCGGATATTTGTAACACAATTCTGGTATAAGTGTGACATGTACTTTATAACTCGAACGTTTTGTTTATAATTTGAAAACAATGGATATTTACCCATTTTAGCATGTATGTCATTGAGGTTAATGAAGTATAATTGATAAGGAATTCTGGCTCGCGAAGTTTTCTAATACTAAGTAAAAATAAAGTCACGGCGAAGCATTTAAATGTACTTAATAAGTGGATGTTGTTTTATCATGGTCGTTCGGACATTGTGTTAAGGGTTCCGTTATATACCAATGTCAAGATGTCACTGAGATAAAATATATTGATCAGAAGTAAAATATGCACAATAGAGTTTGATTTGATGAGTAGAAAGTGATGAAATTGTAAGACCCGGACCAGTGTAAAAACGCATTTGTAAAATAAATTGTACTAGTGTTAATTATTTATTGCTTTATGTATTGGTCACTGTCGGATATATTCCCTCACACTTGGTCTGCAAATATATATGATCCGCATTTGTCTTTTTAAATACAATACAATATCATCACACAATTATTTTTTGCATATAGTTATCCAACTTTAACAAATGTTCATTGCTGGCTTATGAATTCAGTATTGCATAGTGAAACTAAGTTCTTTTATTATCAAAAGTCACTGTTGCGAGTACTTTTAGATTGTTACTTTATGTTTTTGTTCGATTAGTGCTCATCTGACGAGTCGACTTTTTTCCAACTGATTTTATAGTTTGGTCTTGTATTGTGCCTTAACACCACTGTCTCCGGTAAAATGAATACTAGTAGTTGAGTGCTCACAAACATGTCACTCCGCCAAATTGTGCAAGTGTCTGCCTTGGTTCAGGAGCTTGTAATTAAAAGGTTGCCGGAGGTAGCTATCTGTCATATCTGCTTTTCGTTGATTTCCTTTAGCATAGACCAGGTTGTTTGCTTCTTTTCGAATAGTTTTGTTCCCAAAGGGTCTCACCAGTCAAGTAAATACGCTCATTTTCTATAAATTTACTATTGATAAAAAGTTGAATATTCGAAACCGTTAGGTTTCCTACTCCCATGAATAGATTGGCTTAGTCTTATTTGACACAACCTTTCTGAAGGTTTGGTTTTAATTCTCTTTAATTTCGCCTTTGATTAGGCATTCTAACTGTTTTGATTCGAGCGCCACTGACGAGTTTTTTTTTTTACAAAACATACGTCTGGCGTACCAAATTATACGTTTTGATAAGTTTTTACATTATGTCATGCCAAGGCCTTTGAGAGGAATAACCTAATTGTTGACAGCCAAACAGTCGCTTTTATGTTTTAAAATCCTCGTCATTTAGTGTCTAGTGGTAAGTTGTCATATTGTCAACCATAAGAAATCTCCTTATTTTTATAAGTAATAAGGAGGGTAAGATATCAATGGGTCAATCTTAAACCAAAAAATCGAATGAAAGTATGCATCACAATAGCAACAAAATCCACAAAAAAGACAAACCGATCACAAAACACTACACAGAAAACTTAAGATTGGGTTTGATGACCCCCCACAAGAACTGGAGTAGAATTGAGGCGCGCCGGAAGGGTAATTAATTACTTGTCCGCTATTGTCAATTGCCGTGTCACCGTTGTTGCACCTCATTACTCGAGATGAAAAGCGAAAAAAACTGGAAAATTAGGCATAAAGCCATTTTACAAATATCAAACATATTTTGTACTGAATATTACAACAACGTGGAGGGTATTTTGACAAAGTATGTAGTAATGAGGATAAGAGGAGATTCGTATAATAGTATAAACGGTACTAGTGTTACTGCACCAGAAGCGAATTTCGACAATTAATGTCTCTTCCGAGATGCTCGAGGCCAAAATATGTAAAAATCCGAAACCTAGTACAAAAGTTAAAGAGCTGATCTACCAAAAGACTTAACGTATAGCAAAAACCGGACAAGGAATCAGAGCTGTGCATGACGGAGTTTTATATTTTAAATTTTTAATTATTCAAAAAAAATTATGATAATAAATTTCAATCAAAACAGCATCCTTATTTTCATGCCAATATCAAAAGATAGTTAATTTTTTTATTCTTTGATTTTACAATGAAATAACTCATTACATACACAATTCATGTCAACATGTTTAATTTGACTACTGATTTTTCTAAGGCAGTAAGGTTGATTTAAACGGTTTTCACTGTATGTGCACAAATGCTCAATTATTCAAAATGAGTTGGTCCAAAGAGAACTATATTGTCCTACAAAAGTAGTCTAACCTGAATGAAAACGTTTCAGATTTTACCCAATATCTTATCTTATGGATAAGCTTTGAAATAGAAACGTTATGTTCTCGGCGTCAGTCGTGTTGAACGGTATCTAATTAACAATCACACAGGATGAATTCATGACCTACATTTTGTTTAAGACATGATATATTTAACTGAAACAAATTTGAATGATCGCATGAATACTTTATTGCAAACGCAATACTCACTAGTTATATCAACATAAACATATATGTATTAGTGGTGTAACAAATAATAACCAGCATGGCATAATCTCAGTGTTATTTGAGTGCATTAACTGATTTTATTATATACTTATTAGCACATACAGATAAATTGTATGACTTGTGTAATACGATCAATGGCAATCGTGCTGTATCAGCAGAGCTCTTGGGATTATATTGGTGTCTCGGGTTAAAACGGATGCGATATTGAAAAAGCCATATGATATTTTCTATATATGAAATCGTACTTCCCACACATATTTTATAGATCAGCTATGTTTTATGTTCAGCGATTTAAATTTTTTGTTTAACAAGTACTGCGATTTCGTTGGATTGGACTAGGAATTTAATAATATTATGAAAACACAAATAAGCTGGGCATAATTATACAAAGATGTATGGTTTTCTTACGCAATTCATATTACAAAACTTATGTTTAATTGTTAACAAATTATGAAAAATATAACGAAGAAAAGGAAAAGACGATCTAAAAACTGATGATCGATTGAAGCACACACGTACACAGAATGTATTTTATAGACGAAATATACCCGATACATGAACCTGCGTTTAATAATACAATGTACCTGTAGGATGAACAGACTATGTTGAGTGTCTAATGACTTCCGTTATTTGATCGTTTGTAACCTTTCCACTAGTGCAGTGTCAATGCTAACACAATTTCTGTCATTTTAAAACAACATTGAATGAAATTGGTATAAATCTTTACATATTTATCATTACAAATGTCACACGATAACACTGATTTATGAATAATTCCTTCTAATTATAGTTAAATTTAATGTATATTTATTTTTCTTTTGATTGATTTTAAATTGAGATTTTCCGGTAAGAATTTTACATATTAGTGCAAATTTTTTTCATTTAATCATTATTTAACATATGTTATTGACAAGTTTTTGTATTCAGTTTTGAAAAAAAGACCAATTGTACTCAAAATTAGACATGTTTGTGTAAGGCATGCGCTTGTCATTTAATTACTTATTAGTTTTAAAATAAAATTAAAATTGAAAACCCAGAACTATTTTCTGAAGCTTACTGAAACGTGTTAGGTTGTCAACAAACTACAGTATACAAAACTACTAAAATCCATTATAATCATGCTAACTTTGTACAAGCATTTTGATATTAATTTTATGTTTCTTTGCCTAACTAAATTCTTTCCACGGTTCAAATTTATCATTCTAACATGACGTTCTTCAAACGCTTTGAGTACACACCCATGGTAAAATATGAATATATTGTTTGGGCTGTTCCGATCGTACTCCCGCCTCATATGCTTTTTTATGAATGAGCTACCCGACGTCATAGAACGATGACGTAAGAATATAAGCATTTTACGGGAAAATACACGCTTGTGAAACCGAAAATCATCACAACAAGGAAACGTAAACAAACGATGCTAAAATGTGTTATATAAGCCATTTTTTGTTTAAATATCAGACGTATAAATACAATTATCATTTAGATTCATCCAAACCTATCTAAATATGTCATTGTTAATAGTGTAAGCATGCCATTTATCCAGTTTGCTCCGTTCTTTTACGTCAATTTAATAGTGCGTTTATTTATGAGAACGGCAAATAATGCCTTCACCTAGACCGCTTCGATCCAAAAGAATTGCCGTCTTTGTCCTATTAGAATCAAAATAATTCATAGGGGCTTGAATATATCGTGATATTACCACGGGTTGTTCCTTTATGCCGATATTTTACCCCTCGCTATCGCTCAGGGTAAAATACGATTTGTCATAAAGGGCCAACCCGTGGTAAAATCACGATATATTCAAGCCCCCATGAATTATTTCTTAATTAATACACCGCAGAAGAATTGTTAGTTCTTCTGTTAATCTTCATCAAACTTTAAATACAATTTACACAATGATGACTGTTATGTTTCAGCGTCATTAGTCAGTGTTCAAGTTTATAGAAATCTAAGCTTAACATTTAGTATTTCATAGCGCGTTTCGACTACATTGGAACCATCCGTCGTTGTCAAATAAAATAAAGTTGGAAGACCAAATGAAAAACGAAGAAGAACATTATTCAAACCAGGAAATGTCTAAAAAAAAGTTGTGTTAATCTTTCTTAAGACAATTTTCCGATCAAATCTTCGCAATACCTTTGTGTTTTGAATAATTAAATATTTGACAAACAGTGAATTATCGTATTAATGACACTTCATGTCAGCACATAAACAGACCATTTGCATGATACAATTTAAAATATGCATCCAATCGTCGAAAAGGTGACATGA